CCCCAAAACCCCAAAACCCCAAAACCCCATTTTTATAAGAATTTATTGAAAATGGACCCAAACGGTGACTTACAATTTGAGAAACTATATCGTTCCAAAGGTACACTAATAAAGACAAGGTACATTTCGCTCTAACCCACAGAAACTTGCCATATAACATTAAGAAGAACAAGTTGCAGAGGTTGACCTTTAGTCCTGAGATAAGGAATCCGAACTCCCGTTTGTTGGAAGAGTCAATGGGACCAATGTCTACTATCGACGAGGTAATTTCTATTAGAGGAATTTTATAGGATGATAGTCTTAAGCCTCACAATGTCAGTAAATTCATGATTCCTCGTAAGTACCTAAGGATCTATAAGGTCTAAAAGTGCCAAGGGCAGTTGAACTGTGTTTTTATGTACGTTTTGACGCAAAATAACCCTCTTTGTAGCACCTAGCCCTCTGTTCACATTCGATGAGGATGATAATAAGTACAGGCTCGAGATAAAAAAGCAGAAAGTCAATAAGCTTGACAAGTTGATTTCCAAACTTGATGCCAGAGTTAAGGAGATCGATGACCTTCCTCCTGTGTTCTGAAGTGCAGACTTTAGACAAAGGATTAATAGACTTGGTATGTAAATAGAGGTTGGTCAACTGTTTTGTTACAAAATCCATAAGTTGTCTCTCATAACAACAACCAAAATCTAAGAGGTTTAAATATTTTACAGCAAACTGGGTTTTACATTAATTAATGGTAACAAATTTGTATCAGCTGTGAATTCTCTTAGGATGATATCCTAAGTATGGATTTTACGAGAAGATAGCCAATCATTGACAGCAATCTCTATTTTCACTATTAGAGCTTATCAAAAGTTAAACTTTTAAGTCCAAAGAAGCCTCAGAAATAATGATTACCCTAGTAAATTGCCAACGTTGTCCCCTAATGTGTTTTAAAGCTTAGTGTTGATTCCCAAAAGGGACTCTGATCTTGTAAGAAATTATCCTATTAGTCTTCTATCTCAGGCCGATTAGAAACTTCAGGTTAGAAATCTTCATAACTTTCAGTCAACTTTAATTGAATAAACAGGGGTTTTGGGGTTTTGGGGTTTTGGGGTTTTGGGGTTTTGGGG